CACCATAGAGAACAATGGGGTGGGGGCAACCTGTTTGGGGGCCCATAGAATTGGACCCCCTGGTCCAATCTTCATGAAACTTGGTGGGTATGTAGGGGAGAGGTTCTAGTAACCACCCTCCAAGTTTGGAGCTTACCCACTCCAAGGTCCATAGGATACAATGTTGCCGAATTGCCGCCGAATTTCGGCGGCAAACCGCGAATAAACTGCAGCAAGCTGATCTGGGGGCAACCTGTTTGGGGGCCCATAAAATTGTACCCCCTTGTCCAATCGTCTTGAAACTTGGTGGGTATGTTGGGGAGAGGTTCCAGTAAGCACGCTCCAAGTTTGGAGCCTCTACCCCAAACCCCCTCCCCCCCAGCCCCCCACAAAGTTTCAAGAGGATTTTTGCCATTGACTTCAATGGCCCCATTGGTTATAATGGACCCGAATTTTTCGGGATTCGGACAAGCTCATAAATTGCTAATTCGGGATCCCAAAAGCCGAAAAAAGCAGAAAATCGTTATTTTCGGCTTTTTTTTCGGTTCGGGATCCCGAAATGCACATCCCTAATCTAGATTGCTTACTGTGCAATAATAGGCCTTACCACTTCACTGTAGTAAAGTGTTTTGATCATCTTGGTATGCCCAGCTATGCAAATTAGACATAAATGTAGAACTGTGCATTGTATAGTGGGTAGTGGATTCAGTTTAAGAGATCTTGAATTTACTGTTTCAGGCCCTTGGTTTCCTGTATGCCTCTGGTCTTGGTGTTGATTCCAACCAAGCAAAGGTATGGCAATTCAGTTGACTTTTTTCTTGCTCAGACTTTTAGTTAATGTCACTGGCAAATTAATCTTGATTAACATATGCATTTTTCCCCACAGGCACTAGTTTATTACACTTTTGGAGCTCTTGGAGGAAATTTGATAGCTCATATGATCTTAGTGAGTGTTTTTCTTTTTTCCTCAATTGTATTTGTTCATGAATGTGTGTGCATTCTAGGAATGCAGAGGAGTCGACATAACACATTCTTTGTTTCCAGGGCTACCGCTATTGGGCTGGTATAGGAGTCCTTCAGAGCTGTGAATCTGCTCTCACACATTATCGTCTAGTAGCCAACCATGGTATGTATGTTTAGGTTTTTCCCCTGTTAGTTACCAAGCACATTCCAAATTATGTGCTTGTCAAGACAGATGTCAAGACATAAAGAAGTACAAATACTTGACGAGGTACATTTTTAAATTCTGCTTTTTCTCCAAGGGAGATCAAGGCAGTAAATGTGCCCCCCCCCCACCCGATTTTGTCCTTATATCAAATCTGTGAAGCAGTTGAAGCTGAGAGAATATGCTTTGACCAAGGTCACCCAGGGAGTGCCCGTGTCCGAGTGGGGTCTTGAACCTAAGATCCCAGTGTCTAGTCAAGCACTGTGACCACTGATGCCTATATTCTTAGTGTGGCCTGTACAGAAATCAGGTGAATCCTTTATAGCCTTCCCTGGATATAGGTTTGCCCCTTCTTGATCTCCAGTATGCTTTAGTAAGTTGTGAGATGGGAAATGGTCTCAATAGGCATGATGTCAGATTTGATCTGCAACACATCTCCTTGTACAGCAGTTATTAAAAGCTGTTCCTGTAGTTCAAACACAGCTGTCTTTTCTGTGTACAAATAGTTGTAATCATACTATGTTTGGTTGGATCCCTAGGTGCCCTTTCAAGCAGAAGGCATTCCTTTGGCACAAGGGAGTTTTGCTGTGTTTGTGTCAGGATCCGACATAGAGGTTCCATCCAGAGCAGCTTTTCATTGGCCCGAGGAGCTTCAGTAGATGTGGGGGAAGTGGAAAATAACTATTTCACAAGGAACAGATTCCATGGATCTTAGGCGTCAACCCAGTGTATTTTGAAGTGTAAATATTATGTACTGCCTAGTTTGACTTCACAAGGTGCTCTCTTTCTGGAATGTTCAGCTATGCTTTGAGGGCCACTGTATGTTGACTGTTAGGTACATACATAAACTCTTGCACGTGCACCCAAAGAGTGAATGTGTATCATCAGGTATGCAAGTCAGGAAACTGGGATTGACCGTAACGACCTGCTGAGTGCATTTGGTGGCAAGTGTGACCTTACTGCTGCAGAATGCTTAAAATGTTGCACATGAGCATTATTTTTTTCAGGTTTTATATTTGACTAAGAATTGTTCTTACATTTTTCATCCATTCTAGTGGCAAGTGACATCTCTCTGACAGGAGGTACAGTGGTACAGAGAATTCGTCTGCCAGATGAAATAGAAAATCCAGGAATGGCAAGTGGGATGCTGGAAGAAGATTTGATACAGTATTACCAGTTTTTAGCTGAAAAAGGAGATGTACAGGCACAAGTAAGATTTGTTTTCTGCCTAAGATGGGAATTTATTGTTCCTGGAGTTATATGCCTAAATTAAAATCTCTAGGACACATTTCAGTATTACCCTTTCCTCCACAGAAAACTAGATTTTGGGGAGAAGGCTAAGTTACAGCTAGAGATGGGCACGAACAGCATTTTTGCAATTCAGTATGTGGCTGAGCTATGAACCGATATGAACCGATAGGTTGGTTTGAGAACTAACCTGGTTTGTATCCGTTCATGAGCCATTTAAAGTTTAAACCCCTGCTTTCTGCTCCCTGCAAAAAGCTGAAGGAAGCAGGGAGCTCCCCGCTGCTCAGCTGTTTTTCGTGAAGAGCAGAAAGCAGCTTTAAACCTCTGTTTTCTGCTCTTCATGAACCACCACAAAGGTTCTTCAGTTCATGGATACTGCTTCACAAACCATCCAGAATTCATGACGAACTTTAGTGTGTCAGCTGGTTCATGCCCATCCCTAGTTACAGCTCTCCTCCCTAGGACTCGATTGCCTATGGAAATGGAACATTTTGTATGGAGAAGCATTGTCCTGTGAGCTCTAGCCTGCAGTCGGGAGTGAGGACAGAATACCATCTTCATGTAGCTTTGTGATTCTTCTCCTGTACAACTTTTTTCCAGTGTTTATCAAGATGCAAACCTTGAACTTTGATTTGAAGGGAACAAGGGATTTCTTAGTCCTCTCCCCTTGTGCCATTTTTCCTACAGGAAATGACTACCCTCTCCATACCCACCCACCAATGCATTTAACCCTGCTGGGGAACATAAAGTGAAGCCCCACTCAAAACCAATCCCCTTGTGTGCTCAGATAAAAGTATTCTGTGCAACAAAGAAAATCCCTTCAAATGACTTCACATTTCGGCAAGGTTTTTTAGAAAGTATTTTTACTAGTTTATAAAGGAACATAGATCTGGAAAGATCTCTTGATTCAGACATAATGATTTCTGCTCGAGTGAATATTTTCATAATTCCGAGTCCCAGGGAGAAATGTGATGTGGAAGACTTTGTAAGCATCCCTAGGTGTTAGCTGGCCGTCATTGATTTTGAGTTAGAAGCTCCCTTCTAGTCCTCTTTAAGAGTTCAAGCTGCACGGTAACAAACATAAAGGGAAACAGACAAAGTTTATTTGCATAAGAAGCTGGGTTGGTTGATGCACCATTCTTACAAAGAAGGGAAAATGCTTAAGTCTAATTTAATCACTTATAAATTTAACTTATCAAAATTATAACCTCATGCACTTTCTCTCTTCAGCAAAAATGAATGATCCTCCTGCCCTGGATAATAGTGTCCATTACATGGAGAAGTGCACTTAAGAGTGTCACATTATATACTTAACATGGCACAGCATTAACTGAAAAGTATTATCTCCAAGTGCCTCAGCACTCTCTGGCTGTATTTTAAAAATTAATTTAGAAAAATTATGTGCCACATCTCCAGAGGCCTGCTTGAAGTGGTTCACAAAGTAAAAAATATAAGAATTATCTGGAACTGAACAGGCCAGAAGTATAAAAACAATAAAATAACATTTAGCAACCTAAAATGATACTCATTATTATCTGCATATTCTGCAGTCTTACCAAATGGCAGCTGGCATTTTAAATTCTTTTTGCTGCAAAAAGTAAAATAGCTTTGCAAGCCTGTGGATACCTTTTTAGCACAGGCAGGTTCAGAATCAACCCCCTACCCCACACACATGTAACACAAAAGAGAAGCCAGAGTTATGACCTGGCCAATGGGAAAATGGTCTCTATGCCATAAGCTATGCCAACTGGTGGAGGCAGCTGGGCAGTGCCTGGAGGAGGTAAGAGGGTGGCTGAGTGTGTGTGTGTGTGTGTTTGGAACCTGCTTGCACTAAAAAGAATCCCACTCCATCATGAACTGACTTTGCCTTGCCATCTTTCTGCTGCCCTCAGTAATTCTGCAGAAGGAAGCAGGAAGCACAGTGTACTTCTCCTGAAAACTAAACAGTTGGCTCAATTGTACCAGAACAAGGACTTCATGCCTGGGAAAAGGGTTTAGCTGGTTGCTGGCTTCATTTTGTTTTACATGTTGAAGCGGAACAATATGGGTTCCCCCCCCCCCCCAGCTATTTCTTCAACCTCTTGATGTCTAGTATTCATGTTGCATATACACTTCATTCATTTTACACTTGTGTATCTTTTTTTTAACATATTTATTGATTGATTTTTCAGTAAGCCCCTTGTGGGGTGATATATACAATCAAATATAAGAATAAAAAATCAAAAAATTAAGTTTTGGAGTCACACATATACATTATTATAGTATACTTTTGTTATTATCTATCCAAGTATAGAATTTTTTCCATCTACGGTTAAACAACACATCATCTTTGTTTTGTAAATTTATAGTTAGTTTATCCATCTCTACCACCTCTAGAATCTTATATATTAATTCCTTCTTAGAGGGTATTCCCTCTTGTTTCCAATATCTGGCGAAAAGCATACATGCTGCAGTTAGTATATATATATAATAACCTGTTTATCATCAACGCTATATTCATCAGGTATCATGTTTAACAGGAAAAGTTCCGGAGATAATGGTATATCAAACTCTACAATATCTAGGATAAATTTATGTACCTTCTACCAAAAACGTTGTGTTATGGTACATCTCCACCAATTATGATAAAAAGTACCCACATTATTTTTACATTTCCAACAGTTCCTTGATAAATTTGGATAACATTTTGCCAACTTATCCGGTTTCATAATCTATGAAACATGTTATAAACATTTTCCTTGTATGGAATTGTGTATCTTTTGAGTCAACTTGTTTGGCAGGAAAATATATGACATTAGCTTAATGTTGCAGGTTGGGCTTGGGCAGTTGCATCTCCATGGAGGAAGAGGAGTAGAACAAAATCATCAGGTATCAGTGTGCCATTTAACTGTTTTATGTCAGTGCTTATAAAAAGCAAGTAGACTGAAATATTGTGGGCATAACAGCTGTCTCTCTTGGCTAGATATAGGTGTTGTGACAGTTGTGTACTAGATTTCCTTGGGGAACATGTATAAATTAGTAAACTGGGAAAGATAAAATGCATGGAGCCAGATTCCGTATAATGCACAACAAATGATTGTCCTTGTATTCCTAACATAAGAGAGTTTAGAACTTTCTGTTTCACATGGGTTTTCCTCACTGGGCTGAATAGGCGGTGAAACTGACAGCTGTTAACTGTTCAAGATTCCTAGTTTATTCAAGATTCCTATTTTATATAATGCCAGTAGAGACTTAAAATGCAAAGTAAGAGGGATTTAGCATTCTGAAGTAGCCGAATTTTGCTTCTGCTAAAAGAAGTTAGCAAACAGAATGAACAAGATGTCTAACTGTGAGGTATAAGTAGTCACTATTACAACAAGAGAGACCTGATAACAATTTTTTAGACAGAACTCCAGTAAAGTAAGAGGGGAATAATTCTCAGGCAGGAAGCCAGTATATGGATTTGGTCTAGATTGAATATGAAAAATCTCATACTACTTTAGATGGTACATGTTCCTAGGTACAAGAAAACCAAGTGGGAAGAAGGTGGTAATGAATCAACCAACGTTGTATAGTGGATAGTGCTGGGCTAGGATCTGAGAGACCCCAAGTTCAAATGCCCACTCAGATGAGACGCTTTCTGGGTGGCCTTCGGGCAGCTTGTCTCTCTCAGAGCCCAAGCGATATCATGGGTTTTGTGAAGATGCAAGAGGGGGCAAACCAATGTATGCCACCCTTGCAGGAAGGTAGATCTTGGCAAGCTGTAATCCAATGACATGTTTTTGTTTTTTATAGTAAAAAGAACCAAGAAATGTTATTGCTTTCTACTGTTATCCATTCATGCAACCCTGAATTTCAGCCTTTTTGAATTAAACTTCACTTGTGTGATCATGTTGAATGAATTAGTGTCCATATTAGATAGGATTGCTACTGTAGCCTTCGAAGCAGTCTCTGCTCTCCATTGTTTAGTTACAAAACTGAGCAGTGTAGTGATGTGCAAATATTCTGTTTGTGACTTATGTCTCTTCTCTGTTTACCTGTCTCCTCAAATCAGAGAGCTTTTGAATACTTCAATCAAGCAGCTAATGCTGGTAACTCACATGCCATGGCCTTTTTGGGGAAGGTAAGGCTTCCATGTTGAGTGTGTTCAGGGAGTGATCTCCGATTATCGCTGTAACCAGTTGTTTAACAGCTGTAGATAACAGATTTAGCTGGACATGAACTTGGACCCCTTTTCCTGCTGTGGGGTATAGGGAAGTGAGAATCCTTCACTTTGTGTGCATCTTAGTTTATGAGTTAGTGGCACATCCTCCCCCATCCTTGTGATACTCTGAAGTATAAATCAAGTTTTTTGTTTTGCTTGGTTTTGGGGAGCCTTTGCTGTAATTGCCGAAGGTCCTAGGCTCAATACCTAACATTTCTAGTGGAAAGGGTCTTGTAGTAGATGATGTGAAAGAGCTCTGAGACTCTGGAGAGACACTAACAGTCAGACTAGACAATACTGACCTTGATAAGACCAGTGATCTGTCTTAGTAGAAGGCAGTTCCATATATGTTAAGGACCCCCTTTTCAAAGAGTGCTCTCTCTGTGCAGTGATCTTGGTACCTGAGTACTTTTCATCTGTTGGATGATAAATGTGCTACAGTTGTGGAATATCCTGAACCTTATCGTTATTACAAGTTGACTTTGATTCAGTAAAATAGGAATTGCTATTCACCCCTCCCTGCCTACTGAATTATCAAGTGCTGTGAAACTATGCTGCCTGTATGACATGTGAAATTGAGGTGTTGGTCTATCTGGCAGTGGCTCTCCAGAGCCTCAGGCAGATGTTTTTTTCCAGTATCTGCTATCTCAGGTCTTCTAACTAGAGGCACCAGGGATTGAACCAGGAATCTCTTAAATGAAAAACCTGTTTCCTTCGTCAAATACATGAAGTAGCCTTATCAGGTCAACAAGCGCAACAGGTTGTTCAGGAAGTCTGGGAGTGGCTCATACCACAGCACTAAAAACATGCTTCAAGGCATTTATTTGTAACTTTGATTCATTTTTTTGAAGAGAAATTTTGATAAGATACAAGTATGATCTCACTTATTGCATTTTCCAACAGTCTGTGCCGTTGTTGCTCTCTGTTCTGTATGCTGAGTTTACAGTGGGAAGCTCTTTTTCCAAATTGCCTTTGACATGTAACTGTATAAAAATCGATGGCATAGTATATATTAGTACCCAATATCAGTTCACCAGGCATTGACTAGGGTTTTATTGCCAATTAAGTTTGGTTGAGAAGGAAGAGAAGTGGGGGAGAGAAACTTGTCCATTACTTGACCTGGTGTAAAGGGATGTATGATGGGTTCCCCAAAGTCATATTTGCTTACTAGCATTGCACAATCTGTGTTTTTTCCTGAACATGTATTTATTGAAAACATTTATCAGCTGTCTGTCGTCCTTTTGGAATTCAAGGTGGCTTACAACATAGGTAAAATACATAAAAACCAAAATTTAAAGTCACAGTTTGATTTCTATGTTTTATTTCCAGATGTATTCAGAAGGAAGTGATGTTGTGCCCCAGAGCAACGAGACAGCACTTCAGTACTTTAAGAAAGCTGCCGATATGGTATGTCTCTGGTTAGCCCTAGTGTAGAGAATATTTTGATCTAAGCAATAATACAGTGGGCCTTGTACTGAGAGTATATAGCTGAGTATTAGCTTGAAGTTACTGCTTATTCCTGTGCAGATGCAAAGGGACTTAAGCGGAAGCTGAGCATTGCTTGACACACAGGCAAGTAGTGCTTTTGTTGGTGTTTCCTGTGCTGTGCGCTGCACTTATGAGGTGTCTTTCCTTCTGGCTATCATTTATTCATTTCATAGATCTTACACACCCCACCTAGACTATAGAACACAACATATGCTTGCAACCTTTACCCTAAATTTTGGTTGAAGTAGAGGCTGTAGCATAATGCAGGTGGTGCTAAGTATAGGCTTAAAGCTGAAACTGTGATGCACTTAGCCTCAAACGTGTTTTTTCTCTCTTAGCTCTCTGACTATACTTGTGAATGATAACAGTACATATTGGTGTTCTAGATTCAAATGTGCAATCACACTGTTGTGTAATGACATTATTTATACCCCTTTGTTTTTCAGGGTAACCCAGTGGGGCAAAGTGGTCTAGGAATGGCTTATCTGTATGGAAGAGGTGTTCCAGTGGTAAGTTTGCCTGGTATACTGGCCATTTCAGTTTCCTTGGGGGATGATTTCACTAAACAGTGTAGTTAGATTTCCACATCAAATT